TCTTTCAATATGAAAAAGGAATAGGTGGAATGTTTAAAGCAGATTGTATCTACACACCTCTTGGTGGAACGTCTTCCTGTATTTCTGTAATAACTGATACACACCGCCAGCAGTACAGCTCCCATGATTGAAAGTAAACTAGCGAAGGCATAGATGAGTACCAACTCCAACGAGATACCTGTAACTTTAAATATAACATTTTTTTTCCTTTCAGTGCCTTAACTTCCTGTGCGGTACGTTTCTGACTAGTTATTGATGTTTGAGTTTTAATTGTCGTCACGTTTGTAGATTCTTCTCCCCCAGAGAATCTCTTAAATTATAAATTTTTGGATATTTCTGAAATCAACAATCAATATATAAAGTACAGTGTGTATCACAGTATTGGTCATGCCAACCTGAGGAGACGCCGTAATCCCGCACCGACGTGTGTCACAAGATAATATGGAGATAATATGGTTACTTTTAAAGGAAAACGTTGTGTTCAGTATACCGGACATAAAACGAAAATACAAACTATTGTAGCATGTAGCTGAAAAGAATTACGTCACAACTTTCCTGGGACTGCATTTCGTCCTTAGAAGTAAATTCAATCTTACAATTTTACTAGAAAGATGATAAATATATAGTGTCTTGAATATAATGCATAGAAATGTGAGCAGGATCATCTTGTCCGTGATTTCTTTCGTGAGACAAATATTGAAATTTCCTATGTATGCCATTTAGCGTTTTCACCAGTACGTGTGGTCAGAATTTATGCAAATTCATTAGAGAAAAGAAAGCATTTACACATCAAATGCATTTACTCCCACAAGAGGCTGCTGTTTCATTGTTTTTGAACACTGAATATCGCCACCGTGTCCTCATGTGAAAACGCTCTATACGATGATTACCATTGACACTTTGCAAGCATATGTTGAAGTTAATTTTTTTCCTATTGTTTTTGAGTATGGTAATGTATGGTAATTAATTTCAAAGAAAGGAGACATTAGAATTAACTGAAATAAAAATTTACTGCAACACATATAAACCTCTTTCATTTTTCTTTGTTGCATTTCCTTTCGTTGTGTACGTCTTATTAGTAATGGGGCTTGATCCCATTTCATTCCCTTTCGTTGTGCACGTCTTATTAGTAATGGGGCTTGATCCCACTTTATTCCACGCCACAAGCTGGAACTCATATTCCGTAGAACATTCTATCTCGATCTTCTGGCTTTTGGTAGTTCTCTCTGTAATATTAAATCTGGTCCACTCACTGTCACCTTGCCGTCTGTAGCTTATTGTATAAAAAAGTACAACGGGACAGTCACTTGACAGTGGTTTCCGGGGCCATACAAAGACAGCACATTCATTTTCTTTTTGGCTCGATATAACGTCCAACACAGGCGAGCTAGGGGCACCTATAAAACACAACATAGAAGACGAGAACACATATTATCCTATAGCTAAAAGAACATTCCAACCTATATCTTAAAGCGTGTGCGGATGTTGTCGTTTTTCGATGTTGTTGTTGTCAAATCATAATTTCAAATTAAGGTATAGCAGTAAGAAATTCAAATTTAAATCGTTCAATAAAATTTTTGGCCTAATTTTATCCGTGGGATACCTGAAAACTATAGCCGTATATTGCTGAGCATATTTACAATGTAAATGCAGTGCAAATGTGTATGTTGTGGTTGTTGTCGTCAAAGCAACTGGAGATCCAGGTGGTCCTTTTTTACGATTATTAAACAAATCCTTAATCCAGTCGAAGCTTCCTTACCTCCACCCTAGTAAGCTCTCCAGCTGTAGTTACGACCAGAACTATTTGAACTATTACTAAAAACGCTGTATAACGAAAAGCTCTTGAAGTGATCGACCGCCTCTGGTAGTACGGTGGCTTAGCTAGAGAATCATGCGATTTTTGATCCAAGCACCAAACTTCGTAGGAATATTTACATTCACAGGCTGGTCAATTCCTGATATAGTGCCAAGTTAAATTTTCTAATTCCAGCTAATTAGCAGCAAATGAAATTATCAGACCCGAGACCCCCCACGAAGTAGTTTGTCTTGCTCCTTTTGTTTAGATCTAATGCACGTCTTATTTCAAAATACAGGTAAAACAATACAGATGTTAAATTTAGATGCGAATTGTTATTTACTTTTTTTATTATATAAATGCAGGCCGTTATTTGGAATTTTTGTGCACATCCTTTTTCTCTTCTTTCTCTTGGTTCTGATGGTAAGAGTTTGCAATATCTCATTCTAAATGTGCATGCGACTCCGTGCAGCTAGAAAAGAAACTATTCTAGTTGTATAGAAGAGAAAAATGTCGGTTAAAAAAAAGGAAGTGAGAAATAGGTTAATTCTAGCTAAGGCGCAAGAAGAGGTCGCTTCCTCAAGCTATTGACTGTTTTAAATGTGTTATTCGCCAGAAGGAAACAACTGAAAAACTTCAGTGTCCTGTTAACTAGAGACCACACGACTCTTGTGCTGGATACCTTACTTTTGAACAAGACTTAACGCCATTCTGTGAGGCGGAGAAATTAAGTTCATCAGTTGAATGAAAATATTTTGATGTGGGAAATGGAACTGCTTCCACTTTAGCAAGTCGTTTCCTATGTGGCATAGGGCGTGTCAAGATGCGTTCAACAGGATGCAACTGGCTCGCACGATGAAAAGAAAAATGACTGTAGGAATCCACAGCAGCAAATGGACACGCTCGAGTATGTTTTTGTTCGCACGGAGAAAAAGCACACATGAATATGGTATTCTACGTAGCCGATGCAATAGAAAAACACCACTAGTCATCAGTCGTGATTCGATCATTCGCCCTTTTTTTCTCGCTCCGTTTTCCCCACTATCTTGGAGCCTATCTTTAGACTTGAAAGAATTTTGGGTGTCCTTTAGGACAAAAAAACCTTACAACATCCTAGCCAGTTATCTCTTTGAAAAGGTTCTTGTTCCATCCAAATCGAAGTTTCTACCTGTCTTCCATGCTCTAACAGTGTGTGATACAACTTCCTTCTCCGCTGGTCATGGAATTGCCAAAATACTGACCATAGATTTTTTGCCATTTTTTTTTTATTGAAATGAAGTATTTTTGTTACTGAAACCATAAATTAAAATTCAGTGGAACCTCGATATAAGGAACCTCTATATAACGAAGTCCTTGGTATAACAAACGATTTTCTTTACCCCAGCAATGGTAGAATATATGAAAAACAATCTCGATATAACGAAAACTCGTTATAAAGAACTTATTTTGCCAGTCCCTTGGCCCTTCGGTCTGGATGGGGTTAACTGACTACAGACAAATGGCCAAAATTTTAACTGACAACTGACAAATAGCCTAAAATTTATCTGACAATTGACATTTGCTTTGGGTTTTACCGACAAGTGAAAGAGAACCTGATTGTCTTTTATTTTCTAAAAACCCGTTTTTAAGGCCTTTTAATTGATAGCATTGTTTCACTCTTTTCGCCAGACAATGTGATCAAATTTGCGTTTATATGGGTAATCTTATCAGCGATATTCTGAAGGCATAAATTTTGATTAGCTTAATGGTTGGAAATTATCGACTCTGGCCAGCAAAAACGTTTGTGCGGATGAGAGTAACACACGACTTGGGAAATGGAGTACTTTTGCATAAGTTTTCGAATTTCATGTTTAATTCATATTATATGTACCTTTTTAGCTAAATTTCGGATAAAAATAAACAAGAATAAGTTTCGTAGTTAATTATTAATTTTCACTTAACTGGCAACTGACCAAAAGCCTAAGATTTTACTAACAACTGACAAAGGACCAAAATTTTAACTGACAACTGACATTGTACATCCTCATCCAGACCCTCCAGCATCGACTATCGAAGACCTTGGTGAGGACGGTACGTTGAACTCAACAACACGTGTACCTCTTACGTTTTTCAACACTGGCTTTGAGGCTCATCTCGGCCAGAAAAAGACTGCCATGGAAAATTCCATTAAAGTTTCTCTTCTATCGATGTTTCTGCAGGAGCTAAAAAGCTCTTTTTCACGGTGGCCATCTTCTTATGCACAGTGAGAGGTGCACAGTGCAGAACTAGAGAAGCACCTTAAGTATATTCTGTAACGAACAAGTGAAATCAACTAGGCAACGAAGCTATGTGCAAAGATGTTGGTTGTTTTACATATAATGATCAAACCAACTAAATGCACATTAACTTTATCCAGTGGTATTAGTTGTAGTCTTAGCTTTCTGTTGCTTACCGTTGTCATGACAATGCATAGTTAAGGTTAAATGGCGTGTGATAAACAAGACGTACGTGGTAAACAGGTTGGTACTATCACCGATTGAAATGATACTATGTCCTGATAGACTAGGAAAAATGAATTTAATTTAATTTTCACGAATTTTAATTAATTATGGTTTCTATGGAAACCAACGTAATTCCAGCCTGGCACTATATCTGAAAATGCTAGAATTGGTGAACACTATCAGTGTGCCAAATTTCATGTTTGTAACAAAAAGTGCAGAATTCACCTGAAATTTCTACCTATACCGCCGGACTATGGCTTGTTTGATCGCGACTACTCATTCAATAATAAGAATAATAAGAGAATCATAGCTGTAATCAAACTTAGGGTAATACATAACATAACTCCGGCTCTAATATGCCATTACAGTTTGAACAAGATATTGTAATGAAAAAACGAATGTATGGGTAATTAAAAACATGTACTAACCTTTCTGCGAAACGTTATCGTAAGCGACCGTTCCCAATAGGTTTATCACATGGTTGTTTCAAAAAGAGATTTCGATTTGATTTTCGTAATCGAAACCAGCCCTAGGAGTGCGAGGACTTTTGCGAATTACAAAGGCGATCGCTTACGAGAGCTTCGTTTGTAATCGAGATAGGAGGAGCAACCTCACAACCCACGAGACACAATTAATCCTTACAAGTTTAATTTGAACGTGGAGAGACAGTCATTGGATCTGGATTCGGTTTGACAAATTGGGTCACACTTGACAAACGTTCGCCACTAATAACCTGCTTGAATCGTAGATACTTTTGACATCTCAGAAGGCCAACCATATCCCATGTTGTTCTGTCCCATTACTCTTATATGATACTCGCGCTCTTGCTTAAGTTGGGTAAATAGACATGACTGAGTTGACTGAGAAACGTTATTTGTTGTCCAGTTAAACCATGGTTCTTTAGAACTGACTTCTTTTATCTGTGCAAGGTACCCTGTCACTATTCCACCCTCGGCGTCACGTGATGGTGCATTCCAGGTGACGTTGATGGAGCTACAGCCTCCTTTATAATGCAAATTCGTAACGCGAAGTGGAACATCTATCAGAAGTGAAAGTTATTTTAATCAAACCAAAAAAGAAAAAATTGCATGATAACAGCAGACAGCTGAACGTTGGTCATTGAGTATATAAATACTTTCAAGAAATATATCTATGCTCCTGCCTGAGAAAATCCTGATGTGGGATAATTGAGATGAATACGGTGAGAGAAATTATGTAGAAAGTAAACGTATTTTCTGCTACTACTTTTGTCATCCTTAGTATATGGTTTCTATCACTCACAGTGAAAAAAGCTTTTTCCTGTATGTTTATCACAATTTACTCTAAGCAGGAAATTTTGCTTTAATTATTAGTAAACCTTTTAATTTATTTCCTTCTTGGATCCATTTTTGGTGACAGTCGGTTGTCATGAATATAAGTTAAGGTAATGGAGGGTAATGTTAATTTATGCTACCTAGGAACTTTAATGGACTAAAATAGTTTCTTTCTTTTTCATTAGTAAGTTTTAGTGCCATTGGCCGCTGTGAAATTGCACTGAAATCGGCCAGGTCTTGTAAGAAAAATCACCATCTCTACATCAAAGGACTAATTATCTTCCCATAATTACTCAACAGGATTAAATCCAGATTGGTTAGGAATATGTTTTTAAGTTATAAAAGTAACGTAAAATATATATGATTGTTCAGGTTTCGAAGTGGGTTAGCTCACCGAACTTTTGAAACCACGGCGGCCGCCCACGCTCAAATACACACGTCCATCCAGCAACAGAAATATAGCTCTCTATATATTAATTATTTAACCAAAGAAAGTTTGTTTACATTGTTTTGTTCTGATTTCCCATGCCTTGCTTGCCTCACTCGGTCGCAAATTATTCCAAGCAAGGACAGTGACTTCATATTTCTTACTGTGTTGGAATTGTAGCTGGAAGCTGGTGACGCTGGCATTGGTGATATTTATTTCCGTCATCTTCTCGGCAGCAGGTAGAACTGCTTTGTAGCGCAATGAATACATGGTAATGCTGCAGTTTCTTTCGTTTGGTCGTGTCCACTGCACTGTAACATTTGGTGTTTTCCCAGGAATTTCAGTTTCATTGTTTATTATTTCGGAAACATCAGGCGGTCCTACAATAACCTGATAGATTAATTACCTCCTCAAAACAAAACAATGTTTGTCGGTAAAGACAAATCAATTAATTGGTAGGGAAAACAAAGGGGTGAACATATAAATGAGCACCCTCAAAGGTACACTTAATTAGAAAATGAATGCAAGTATTGTGAAAAAGAAGGGAGTAACGATGAGGAAAGAATGTCGAACTGCATGAAGTAAAACAAGTAGAAATAAATCTAAATGGGAGCTGTAAAAAGTTATAATGATTGAGTACCACAAAGTTGCCATGACTTTTGTGTAATACAACAATATTAAGATGGAATACTTACCAATTAAATCCGTAGTTTCGAAAATGTCTGCCCATTGGCCCGGGCCCTTCTTATTAAAAGCACGGACTCGAATTTGATACCTTGTCTTATTCCGCAGGTCTTTGAACAAACAGCTATGATTTGAAGAGAAGGCCGTGCAGTTGCGCCAGCCACCATTTTCCGTTAACTTTAACTGAACCTGATAACCAGTGAGAGGACCGCCACCAGAGTCTAGGGTTGGTGGATTCCAAGTGACCTCAAATGCTCCGCAGGGTTTTTTTTTTACCCCAAGAGTTTTCAGCTGGAATGGAACGCCTATGATGAAATGAGTGAGTGCTTTTATATTGAAATATCAATGAAACTTGCCATCGGTGTGAGTTAAGCTAACAGAAACATATGACAAATTGTCCGTATTTCTTATTATTAAATGAAATTCTAAAAACTTCAAACGTTGATAGTAGTCTGTAGAATACGTTATACATGACTAATACGTTATACAGACAAACCGGAGGACAGACAGGGAGCAGTATACAAGATCAAATGCTGAGACTGCCAGGCTTCTTACATTGGTGAAACCAGCAGAAACCTAAGCACGCGACTGAACCAACACAAACGCGCGACGAGGAATGGTGACGTCAACAATCACATTGCTGAGCACCATTTAAAGACGAAACATCAAATTGACCGGGACCCTGCGACATGTATAAAGTATAAAGTATAAAGTACAAGACTCTTGTCTAAAGTATTGTCTTGCGTAAAGTATTGTCTAAGTATTGTCTTGTAAAGTATTGTCTAAGTAAAAGTGTTGTCTTGTCTTGTCTTGTCTATTGTCTTGTCTTGTCTTGTATAACGTGTTCTACAGACTACTACAAACGTCTTACTTTAGAAAGCTAGTTTACTAACTTAGAACAAACGCCATTGAATCGTAGCCAACAGTTACCAGCGCCGTACAAACAACTTATTGACGAGATCAAGCAAAAGTAACTACGAGAGAACGACAGGAGAACTGACGATTTGACTAACAATAGACAACTGTTTAACTACTGATTACGAGTCTTCATAGCCAATAACATCACGTAATTGCATGACTAGTCAGATCAATAACAGAGTATAATACCATCAACTGGCGTGATACAACTCACTTTGACTCTGAAGATTACTACCGCACAGGTTGTCAAAACGTCAGTCACTGTCAACAACAACAGTCCTATTCAGGACTACGTTCACCCGGACGATAACTCAACCTACTTTCGCAGGTTGTATGTTAGATGCTGTTTAACCCGACTTTGTAGGGGTAGTTCTCGCCGAACCCTTCCAAAATAGATCGGCACATGCTAATAGCCAAGCTGATAAGGCTGCCGATAAAGGTAGGGTGCAACATTTCGAGTGTGCTCACTTACAATTCCAGAAGAAGGTCTAAAATATTGCCATTCTAAGCTAATCTTACTTACAAAAGTCGCTATCTTCTACGGAACTATTCCGTGTAGACTGACTTCAGTGTACTTTGAAATTTTAAAGGCCCTGCCCAGGTCTGGGCCAACAAAGACCTGATGGCATAATAATTTAAAGGAACATGTACTAAACTCTGGCAACCGCGCATAATGGATCACCGGTAAAAGAAACAAACAAACAGACAGACAGACAGACAGAGAAACAAAGAAAAAGTCAAAGAAACAGTGAGAAACGTCGGTTTATTCTCAGTGGTCGAAATCTTTATAAACCACCGCGGTTTATATAGAGGATATTACACGGTGGCGCGAAGATATGAATTTTATTTTCGAGTGGCAAAACAATATTTTACGAACGAGCGCAGCGAGTGAGTAAAATATTGTTTTTGCCACGAGAAAATAAAATTCATATCTTCAAGCCGCCGTGTAATGTTCTTTTTAGTATATAGACAAAATGAAATCGATAAAATAATAGAGGAAAATTACCAAAATTACGTCATCGATAAACTCACGTGTGAGATTATGGAAAATAAACGACGCGGGTCCCAGATGTAGTTTTTATGAATTCTATGAGTGGTATATTTTCCAGTAAAACACTCGTGTCTATATAATAAAAACACTTAACTCTAATACCTTCTTCTGTTGTCACAGTCAGCAGTTTGGCATCTTTTATGCTGCTTCCACGTTCATTCCATGCCAAGCACATAATGTCGTAGGTGCTGCTGCAGTTCAGCTTAAGACGATATTTGTTTTCGTTTGGCGCTCTGAAGCTTGATCTTTGCCACTTTGTCAACTGATTAGGTTGCCTGTAGTGAACGGTGTATCGGGTTATCGGGCAATAATTATTTGGCGGAGTCTTCCACGAAAGAGCTACATAACAACCGTGAGGCTTAGCTGATACTTCAAATGAAGCAGGTACTCCTAAAAAGGAAAAATATTTCAAGAGTATGGTACGACTCTTGGAGAGTAGCTACTAGTAAATTGAATATTACGGCCATGCTTTCAGGTGTGAAAAGAAATTCGTATACTTAGATAGATCTCCATCGATCAGTGATGAAAAAAAAAAAAATTATTTACAATTATTCCTCGAGCCCGAATGGGTTTTTGACTCAGAGGCCATGAGGGCGAGAGGAATAATTGTTTCAGTAAAATACAACTAGTTGGTCAAAAATATCGAGAGAAAACATCTTTAGCTAGTTAAAGGTAGACTTAAATCATTTTTTGCCCACCAAATTGCCGGCGCTTTTTGCTACTAGTGGGCTATAACATATAGCCTAGTGTTAGCTCAACCATTCAGAACGCAGCATTGATAAATTAATCACCACCAGTTGGATTTTACTGAAATGAAATATACAATATCAGAAATCACATCCGGATATCCCAATACAACCTACAGTTAATGGGTACCTGCAATCTGGCCGCGTACCATCATGAGATCCTTGGAAGGAACGTCAATCTCAAAAGAGCTACACCCGGCTTTATAACATGATAATTTCTGGATTATGACGTCAAGCATCTAGTACCTTTAGGAAAGAAAGCCTTTGGTGGTAATGATATTGACAGTCAGTAACTTCATAAGTCAAATTATTATTCGCTCAAAATATTTCTCCACTTTTTTTTTTGATTGGCTGAAATCTCGCTTTGCAAAAACGTAACTTGTATTCAAAAGGACCACCGATTGCTTTCCAGTCGTTTTGAGGCGTCTCCGTACCAATGAAAATAAGGTAAATGAGAATATCTAAACACAAAATCTGAGGAGTGGGGAAAATTTGACACATTTGAAGCCTCATTAAATTACATTCCAATGGCCCTGAAACTTGGAGACGATATAAATTAATGACTAATCTCAGGATTGTTAATTTATGTTAAAAATGATCAAGCGGTTTTTAAATTGCCGCGAAATTTGTAGGTGTGGACCACCAACAAAAATTATAAACAATAATGGTAAAGAAAGCAGCCGACCGTAGGCTAATGAAATTCTCCTTTCTCGAAATCGGCCGAACCAATCCGTAATCAAACCAGTGTGAGATGAAACTGTATTTCCAGACCTCATCATTTTCTTTAAATGTTAGCCAATTATGTCGGTAGCATGTTTATTCACTGTTTTTATGACCCTTAAAACATTGTTTCCAAAAATATTCCAACACGCGATCACAGAGTTTGTTCAAACCTACCCATAATTGAGGCAACTAAAGGAGCTATAGGTTCCCTTAAGTGATTTCCGAAAAAAACAACCTAGACCCGAGAAATATCTATATGCGCAAGTAAAAAACGTAATTCACCATTTTTACATAAACCATAATGCACCTTGTTTACCTCCCAAAATTTTGCATAACTACTGTTTCCAATTTCTCCTGGGTATTATAGTCGTCCCAAGGGAAAACACAATGGTTAAGCAAGTTTCCCGTTAACTTGAACTTAACTGTTCATTAATGCTACCCCAAAATTGGTGCAGGGTAGATACAAAAAGTTTTAACCATTTTTCAAGGACTTTTTAAGGACCACATTAGATTTTCAAGGACCACCTACTAGGGATATAATTTCATAGATAATTATACAAAAATGCACATTCCCAGTCTATTCTAATAATACTTTAAGGCTTGAACCGTTTGCTTCACCAACTTCTCTACATTTTTCAGTTCACTTGTCTTAAATTGATACTTAATTATTGCATAACACATAGAGCACTTTATGTAAATAACCTTTCAATTCTTTGAGCTATGATTTATATTCTGTCTTAGACAACCAAAAAGCATCAAAAAACTCGTTTTAGACCACTACTTTCAAAGTTGAAGAAAATCCAAGGACTTTTCAAGGAAAAATGGAATTCAAGGACTTTTCAAGGGCTTCCCCTAAAATTCTAGGAATTTTCAAGACTGTGCGAACCCTGTTGGTAGATTCAAGATATTTATGTCTATAACAACTGCGTTGGACTGTTTTTAGCTTCCTTTTGTCGTAAACGTCATCCTAAATCTATTTAATACTCACAGCGACAGATACAATGCGAGCTTGCGCAGTTATGCTGTAATTGTTACATGCCCTCGTTCATAGCGCAAACACGATAAGTATATGATTGATAAACTGCGACTAAGAAAGCCATATAAGATAACAAATGACCTTTTTCTTATAATTTAATTTGTACCTGCTGTCGTTTCCAGTTGACGTTTCGTCCAAAAACTATAGCCCAACGTATTTTTTGCCCTGATTTGTATTTCGTAAAGATTGTTACTTTGGACATCAAGCTTCTTGAAATGATCTTCCGTTGAAAGGTGGAATCTTTGCCTGGAATCATCTGCTACTGATAATATAATGAGTTCATATCCAGTCACTCCACTTCCTTTTATCTGTTTCCACTCCACTTCTATCGTACGGCCGCAGTCAAAGGTCTTGTTTTTTACAATTTTAGGACGTGGTGGAACGTCAGAGCTTACTGAAAATGAACCATTATTAAAGGAGCTCAATATCTGCTCAAGTGAATTCAAACAGTTTTACGAAAACGAGCACATTAACATCGGCAGACAGTATGTTAGGGCTGTAAGGAGAACGTCTGGTTGTATAGACCTTTGTCACGCGTCGACCATTTTGTTCTAAGAGATTAAAAAAAAAGCTTTTGTACTTGCATGACTAGCCGTGCAAATACAAAGCTTTTTTATTCTCTTGGGACAAAATGGCCGTCACGTCGGACAAAGGACTAATGTTGGAAAACGGATTGTTTTGTGTAGCAGGGTAGCCGTGATTTTTCATCGTGTTTTACAACAGGTCTTGCACATCTTCTGCCACAGAGTCAAATTCAATAAGCTCTCACATGTGTAGTTTAATAGACTAAGTTTGGCTTTTGCTGCACTTGTCCCATTTTTTGGGGGATTGAATACAGTTTGGGCTTTTTGGGACTTTCTTCTACCAAAATTTTTTTTTTTTAACTCTCTGGTGGATGAAACTCCTCCCCAGAGTTTTTGATACGTTTCAGTATTTTGAAACGATTTTACCTTCAGTGGAAAGCCTTTGATTATGTTAACAAGATGAGGTGTATGTATTTTATGGGTGATGGCGCTGCTGGAGACCTGTGACGTCACCAACAATGGTCGCCATCTTGGTTTTTACCAAGATTTCGAAATCTGCTTACAACCGCAAGAAAATGGTAATTTTTGTGCTTGAAATGAAAAATAACACACAAACAAGCACTTTGCATGATATTACTCATAAGATTTACTTTAACTATTGAAAAAAGGAGAGAAAACAAGCATTCTCACTCAAAAATGGCCTGAAAACTTGCTACTTATGACGTCATATCTCGTAACCATAGTAACTGACCATCACTAAACTTGTCTCTAAAGCGCGCGAGGAATAAACTAACAGTTACTGAAAACGTCAGGTGGTGATGTTTTATCCTATAGGAAAAAGCTCAAAGAAACCTCAAGGGGGGAGGGGGGTGACATCCACTCCCCCACCCCCGCTGTACCTTCGAGGGTTAACTTGAAGGGGCAATCGTCTTTATTAAGGCTCCCAGCCTAAAAGATAGGGAATAATTTTGTAAGTCTAGTTATCAATTAAGGTATTAGATTTCTTATCACATCCGTACAAGGTACAGTCAAGAGCACTGAACATACCATATCCATATAATGGAACGTCCTCTACGGCAATTTCCATGTCAGACTCAAGAAGTGCACACTTGTATGTTCCAAGATCTTCCTTGGTTAAATTTTCAATTTGAAGGGAAACGGTTCCTTTCTTTTGTTGACAGGAATTTAGGGATGAGAACGCGTTGAGTATTTTATACTTCCCAAATGCATTTGTAATTTCTGTTCCATTGTTAAACAGCCATTTCCACTTGTAAGAAGCCATTTGATGAGCGTCTAGCTGGTTGGCCTTGCAACTCAAATTTACAGAGCCGTTTGATCCCATATTAAGGGGAAGAGCACTTATCATAGGTACCATTGGTGGACCTGTTGAGTAAAACGAATAAACTGGTTTATTTCTAGAAAAATAACTGCGGTCCTGCCTTGGTTTGAAGGCCAAAAAAGTCGCCGTAACTTTAGGCCACTTTAGGAAAATTTGCTCAAAATGTTTTTCTATTTAAGGCGACATAAGGCAACTTATGGCGACTATAGGCGACTTAAGGCGATATAAGGTGACCTATTAGATGAATTTAATGTGTATACAAAATTGACATCTACTGATAACACCACCTGTCTATGGAGATAGTCGCTCGAATGGGGATATCTATTAAACTTCAAAATTTTCAACCATCTCAACACATATAGTACTAAAATAGTGATTCTACTTTATATTTTGAACATTAAACATCAAGGTAGCCTGCGTCGTAGATGTAATTTAACCCTGGGCCCAGTTGTTTGAAGGCTGCTTAGCGCTAACCCAGGGTTAAATCTTAACTTGGGTTTCTTTTTCTTTTGTTCAAAAGCATTTTCCCGAATAATTTTCTCTATTCTTTTTAGAGCATCCAATCATCAAATTGTAGGCAAAAATAATAAAACCGAATTTCCTTTTAAGTTTTCATATCTGAATTCAAATTTCACACTAACCCTTGGTTATCTTAACCCTGCTTTGAACAACCCGGCCCTGGCATGACTAGTAATGTCTACTAAGCAGCAATGATATCCTTGTTCTAGGCCCCCAACGGACTTCACAAATTACCGAAATGTGTTTCAAGTTTCCCTTAAACCTTATTGACCAGTGGACAATGGTATCTTTAACAGTCCAGTCCTGGCACGTACTTAAATCCTGGTATACGAGTGAGGGTCCAAAACTGGAATTTGCTACTGTTTTGCAGACTGACTTAACCCAGAGTTTAGTTCCACCTAGCGCAGGCTAATATCAAGCTTTTGGTTTAGGCGAAATTCTTGGTTGCCAGGGAAGAACCAGTCAGTTTACGGTTTGGCAAATAATAAACAACAGTCAGGACTGGTGAATTTCGTTTGACAGTCGCGTGTCGCGTTTATCATTTGCACAAACCAGTTCCTTTCACCAAAAAATGGCCACGAAAGCCTGAAAACAGGACTGCCTTTTCAGACGTTTCGTTTGTTTCCGAAAGTGTTCACTTGAAAGACCCGAAAAGGCGTGTTACATCCACTTTCCAAATATAATTCTCGAAAATCGTTTGTAAATGGTTATAAAGCACTCAAACTTCTTCTTTGACGAAGGGAAGTGCGGCAGTCAACCACCTCTAAGGTTGTGCTAGAGGGGGACCTTAAAAGCCAAGGTCGTGTTCTGTTGGGACCAACCGTTTTTGGTTGGTTGGGATTTTTTGTGGTCCATTGCCAAAAAACGTTTTTTGGTTGGTTTGGTTCCATACTGTCCAATTACCTTAAGGCATGACAAACAAACATAAGCCACATTAATCACACACTGATCTAACAGAAAAAGGTCAACACATTGACAGTTGTATATATGAGCCAGTGCTTTTGTATAAATTTTGACTACACACTGTAGATATATACGTTGCTTGCTAATGTTTAAAGAAAATAAAAATCAAGTAAATTGCACATTGTGGTTATTGCTGTACAAAACAGTCAACAGAATAAAAAAAAAGAAATTGTAGAGTTAAATTTTGGTATCAATTATACATTGCAACAGACTATTGCCATGTTGAAAATACTGAATACTGTGTTCAATGTCTCTTTGAACACAGTCCACACATCTTCAATACCGTAAGCCAAACCATTTTATAAGCCCACTCAAAACCTCAAATGAAGCTGTAAATTTATCAACCACAACAGAACTAAATCATAGGAATCCTACAGTGTGTGAGAGAGTTATAAACAGTCAAAAGCGGTCTTTTTTGCATGAGCGTGCGCACTAAGACTTGATAAAGAGCACGTGACCAGTGACAGCGACAGTGGTGCATAGTCATAGGAACCAAATTCTTCACTTTGAAAGCTTGCTTGAGATTCAAATGGCAGCAGGAACTCAGGAAAGACCTTCGTTGTCCAAAAGAAGTAAAGATCTGGTGATTTACAGAAGGTGGAGATTGATGCGCTGAACGAGGTGAAAGAGAAAGTTTCTCAAGGATGTCTGACACCAACATGGCTGATTGTTGTTGTCTGGCGCTCGACTTGTGTCTTGATTCCCCTTCAAGAACTGCAAAGTTTGGCAAAGAATGCATTGCTGACGGAGAGCTTTTAAGCAAAATGTTCTTTATTTAGTGTTTGTCTATAAATCGGATATAAATTAGTTTCTTGATGCCATAGAGGATTTCTGTCAATAATTTGTGGATAGCTGATTTCGCCATATTTTGGGAGTTGATTAATAACAATAAGCGGGTGACTACCACGCTGTTATCAGTTGGAACAGAAAAATGTTCCCTTAAGAATTTTAGCGATACAAAGTTTGTTTATCAGAAAATTTGCAGAACTTCTTGTTTTTTTGGTGGACTAACACTGTAACCCATCTTTTACAGGAATTTGCTTTTAGCCGTTTGGTTCATCAAAATCAGTCCTATTGATTGCAGTTTTGACTGTCTCATTGATATTCATTTTTTTATTGTTCGATACACTCAGAGTGAATGCCATCAACATCTCACCAGGTGACTAATCTAACTGTCTGTCTTGTGTGCTCTTCATTTTGTAGCTTTAAAGTGCTGGGAAAATTGTAGAACATTATTAACTCACTGCTGAACTGAACACCAGCTTTTGTGCACTTCGAATCCACTCGCTGAAATTTGCTTTTTTTTTTTTTTAATATTTGTGTTCCTTTCCCCATTTTAAAACAAACAAAATTGAAAGTGTTTACTTACATTATCAAATATTTCAGCACTTTGTTTAGAGTTTAATGAGGTCAGCGCAATCCTACAGGCACTACATATACGCGCGCTGTTGTCCAGGTCAAGTTGGGAGATGAAATTTGATAGTAGCTCGTGGTATGTTAAAGCCGGTCTACTTCGCTTTTGTTAAGACCATGTTAGAGTTTTCCGCAAATTACACATTTTGTTAAATCACGAGCACACTCGCCAAGCCCAACGAGGAAAATAATAGCGCTGATAGCTTTGAGACACGCCATTTTGATGAGGGCAGAGCCTGTGGTGAGCCCCCATGCACACTGCTTGTTCAGCGGTCGCGCAGGCTCATGCAAAAAAGACCCCTGTTTAAACGGTCAAAAAAGAACCTGAATAAAACTGATTTAATCAGGCTTTATTGAGTGCGATGCTTCCTCTTAAAGAAGTAAAGTGTAATCAAGCACACTATAGAAGAATACACAGTAAATGAAGTGAATGTAAATTCATAGGATATAGGTTAGACTCCAGAAAAACATGAACAGAAATGGACATGCAAGTGCAGTTTTAGCGATGCAAGCATAAACATAGCATGGTCCTTAATAGAGGCGCATAGGCATAGCATAAGAGATTATGCGTTGGTGAGGATGGCCTAAACAGAGGCATAAGAATAAACACACGAATAAAACGTACATGTAAGCTTACGTTGAACTGTGGAGAATTGTTTTTGACTTTGCAGCTGTCAGGTTCAATCAATCAATAAACTTTATTTACCCTCGAATTTACAGTGTAGCGCTCAAGTGCTAATATCTTCGAGCCAACTACATTAACTAACTACCTAGACAACCAACTTGCAAATTATCTTGATGTAGAAAGGTTTGCAATTCCTGCTATTTTAAGTAAATTATAGTTCCCAGTAGATATCAGTCGTCGAAAAGAAGTAAAATCAGAAATAGTGCGGTGATGGTCAGGAAGAGAATTCCAAGATGTTGCTGCCAAGTAACTAAAGGAATTGATACCATAAGAAGTGGTCAATGGTTTAGGCATAAATAAACGGTTACATTATACGCCCTTAGTTCCGTTAATAGTCCTCCTACTAGTCCGTTCTACACTGTCTTGTATGCAAATCAAGTCCCTTTTTTGCTTCCACTGTTAACGCTCTTTCCGCATCTAATTATCGTACATTAAGTCCCTTGAGACCCGACACTAGATCTCCGCCCTTTTTTTCTAGTGTGGCTCAAAGTCTCTGTAAATAGTGTTCCAAGTAGACGTTCTTGCACGCGCTGATCTTCTTGGTCCGCTTACTGCAGTATCGTCTGGCTGCTGTCCATGTCCCTTCGTTTCCGTCGCTCCTAGGATGTCGGTGGACTATTTGGCTCGTTATGTGGACGGCCAATTGTCATCTCACTGGATGCGCCGAGGTTGTCGGGTTGCAAATCTTCCCTGGCTCCAATAGAACAATCCACACCATAGAACAATAATAAAAGTGAAGAAGTATATATGCCTTATAAAGACGGAGCATGGTTTCAGTAGACATCAGTTTGCCAAACCTTGTCATAACGCTAAACTGATTGTTTACCAGTTTGTTATAAGATTTTCGTACGGCCCCATTCATATATAAGGCTTGCAGCAGTCATTTCATACTATTTTACACAAATAGTTAATGTGATGGGAATCGAAACAGAAGACTTAAGCTTATATGATCTGAATATGGCTGCACGGAAATCTTAGCTTACCACGTACAATATACAAGTTTCTTGTTAGCTTTCATCTTTTATAATGCGTCGCTACAGAGAAATATCGTACCTCAGTGTAAAGACTGGTCCATCTTCTGCTTTGATTTAGCCGACGACCTTGTTCCCTGTAAAACTAAGTCCTCAAAAATTCGCCTTGAAAATGATGGGCTCCTGATCCCCGTTATCACAGTTGATCACTAGATCAAAGTTCGATTGTTTTTAAGCACGCACGCGGTAAAAATGGTCAGCAGTGATGTTCGAATTACAGGCCCGGTCGCAAGGCAAACCGATCAAACCGGTTTGAGTACTGGGCGGTTCAATTGAAATAACGGCTTTTTTATCTTGGCAAGTGTTGGGTTTTGCATGTTAGCTTATTGTAATTATTTTTTAAAGGAATAATTTTCGTATTCAAAACATGTTTAACCACTCGTGCAAAAGTTTAAGAAACATCACTTGTTGCGCGACTGTTAGGCAGCACAATCGATCGCTTCTCTTTTTTATAACATGTAACGAAAACTTCGCAACGCTGATATCAGATCATCCAGTTGCATTCGGGAAACGATTTTAGGTGAGTTCTGTTTTTAATCATTCTTAAGAAGTACTTTTTACGGTAGATTACTTGCTAGTAAAGCGAAATAATCATATTTTCGTTGTTGTGTACCGGGGCATAGTCAGACCTTGCCGCGTTTGCAGTTTATGTGTTGCAGTTGAAACGCAGACAATGCAGACTGCAGACTGTGCAGACTGTGCAGCCTGAGTGTTATTTTTTTTACTGGTACCTTAATTTTCTAGTAAAATTTTTACTATAGTTTCCCGCTTCCTCTCATTATTTGCACTGTGCATCACTATCATATGTGCACCGATGTGTACCTGCAAGGGTCATTGCCACGATTATTTAATTTTTTTGGTAGAAGAAGCTTTTTCAGGTTAAGTGACTTAAAATAAAACCCTTTTCGGCTTCGTACAACGGCTTACCCTGGGTACCAGAGGTTTTTTCTCGTGTGCGACGAGGAGCTTCGTCGGCCACAGGCCGACACGAACTATTTAGTTTTGGAGCTGAATAAACAAGAACCATGATACTCAAACAAGATTGTCGGTTTCAAACCACTACCACTTATTGGCGTGAATGCAAGGAGCAAATACAATTGTCGATCCCCGAGTGAAAACCTGCCCAGAAGGACACTCTTGGGAATCAAATAAAAAAAAAATACATAAACAAAAGTCTTACCCGAATCTTCCGAGCTATAAACAACGATGACATCGGTATCTCTAAGATTTGAAGAAATGACGGCAAGTCACCGGTTTGAATTACAGGGCTAGAGTGAAACCAAAGACGATCATCAAAAATCAAGGAAATTGAGGAAATGTCTCTCTCGTAGTCGTTGTAGGAAGCCGAAAAGGGCTTTATTTTTAGTCACTTAACTTGAAAAGGCTTCTTCTATTAAAAACATTTAAATAATCGTGGCAATATAATACAAGTACAGAAAGAAACAGCTTACCTTCCTCCATCGTGCTCGCTTCTGCGTGAAAGCGGCGCAGCTAAAACCGCGCGAAACTGACCGCGAAACTGCCTTTAAACATGAGCCCGCGATTTCTCATTTTTTAGCCATGACCCTTGCAGGTACTCATCGGTGCACATATGATAATTATGCACAGTGCACATAATGAGAGGAAGCGGGAAACTGTAGTAAACATTTTACTAGAAAATTAAGGTACAAGTAAAAAAAATAACACTCAGTCTGCACGGTCTGCAGTCTGCATGGTCTGCGTTTCAACATGACCGATGTCTAAGCTTCCCGGTACACATGTGGCAGAAGCTGTGCGTGGTCTATGTTAGTTTATTTTTAGCCATTCACTTTTACCGAAATGATGTTTGATGGGCATGAAGATCTTTTTTTGTCAAACGACAAATCAGTCTCGCCGACGAACGGATTCACTGGGAAAAATCAATAAGGGTCAGAACCTTGACCAGAACATAAATGAAAGACATATTGTCTAGACTTCGGATATGCATGTGGCCAAAATGATAGTAGTGTTTGTCACAGGAAGTCTCGCTATTCTAACCTTGAAATTGTTTAATAGTCCTATGTTCTAATCAATAAGTACTAGAGCATATTATTTTCCCTCAAAGTAGGGAATTCTTTTTTTAAATAGGGGAAGAAGTTGATCTTCGTTTACACCACTGTAGCTGCATGGCTTAGCTAGGGTAGGAAAGTTAAATTACAGTGTACTAAATTTTTCCGAGACCCGAAATGCATACGGTTGGCTCAGCTGATGGAACTGTTCAAAATTCATTTTAACAAACCTGACCACAGATACGGAAAATAGTTTATATTATCTTGCTGCACATAGTTTTCGAATCGGAGGAGCAACGTCCGCCTCCCTCGCTGGCTTAACCGACTATGAGATCAAACTTCTACGCTGATGGAACAGTGACTTTTATCAACGGTACACTCGTTCTCGCTTCAGTTGTTGCTCGATATACCCCGCAAGATTGCACAAACGCACACGATGAAGTTTCAGTACGCCACTCCTTACAAGTTCAATGAACCTGCCGCAGATCACTAATTAACTTCCAACTTGGGCTGGACTTTGGGCAGGACTTTGGGCAGCTGTATTTTCCCCAGATGGAAGAGCATTAAGCTGCCCGGATATGGCCCAAACATGCGAAATTATTGTGCAAGAGATAAATTAAGTAATATTTAACTATAGTTTAATGGTGTTAATAATACATTTAGTGTATCGATTTATTTACCATATAAGGTTACGCCTCGGATTACGAACACACGATTGTATTGCTATCTTGCCGTTTAGCGTTGTATTTGATAGCGTTTCGCAGCTGGCCATGACTGCGAAACTGTTTGACAATCAAATAACACGTTGCAATAACGCGCATTTCGCAATTCGCTTTTAACGCCTGAATTAGTTTTCGCTCGTTCCTTCGGATTTGGACTAAGCTTCCCCGCCCACCCTTCCAAGGCAGCTGTATTTTCCCCAAATGGATGAGCATTAAACTACCCGGATATGGGTCAAACATGATTTTTATCACGTGATTAGTGTGTATGAGACAGATTAATGACCGTCTACCGCTTTTACAGAGACACGTCAGGTTACTCAAGGACTTAGAAAATTCACATAGCTTATACCATGGGCGAGCCAGTCGGTAAACGGTTTGGGCAAATGCTAAACAACATTAAGGACTGGTGAATTTCGTTCGGGAGTCACGTTTATAGAATAGGTTTGAAAAAAAATGGAAATCGGTTGGAATCTGGAATTTCCGTTTGCAAAAAAATTCTCTTCCGGGAATAGAGGATTACCTTTCAGATGTTCCGTTTGTTTAAGAATTTTTTACTTGGTAGATTTCTTTACTTGTATGTCCCCCTTTTTTTCTCTTTTTGTTGTTGTCAGTTAAATGGTCATTCCATGTCAAGTTACGACCTTTTTAAAGCAAACGAAGATGGGTGCGAAAACAACCTTGTTAACAATAAATGCTTACATGAAACGCTGACGAGGATAGTGCGTCTCAGGGTTCGGTGAAAGAGGTGTCTAGCTTCACAAGTATAATTCCCAGTGTGATGCAAATCCAATTCACGAAAATCAAGAGTGAGGTTTACTTGTCTGTCTCTTTGACTTTTTGTCTCGTTGATAATCGTGTTGTTCTTGAGCCATCTGACTATTAGTGGGAGCTGTCCTTCAACGAAGCAGTAAAAACTTTTCTTTTCACCAGCGAAAAGAGATGATGGAATACGTTCTGGTATTTTAATTGTCAGGTTACCTAGAACAGGAAGAAAACATATTACTTGCAATGTCAACTATTCCGGTCCCAGACGAGCATTAGGGAGCTTTAGCGACGACGACGGCGACGGCGACGGCTATGAGAACGTCAAAAAAGCAAAAGGTTGATCAAGCAAAACAACGATTTTGCACGAGCCTCACGCTTTAATTTTTGTACATTTCTTTGCGGTGCCTGCAAGACTACAACTTGAAAATGCCTAATTCCACATTTTATTGAGGACGTAAACAAGCGACGAAGAATTTTTCTTTCTCTTTCTAAACTTGAGTGTGGTTTTCAAGAAATCAACTTCAGGGAAATTCGCCTACATTTGAAATAAACACAAAACAGTTTGAAAAAACGAGAATTCATTTTAAAAATGACAATTTCGCTACCGTCTACGTCGTTAATGCTAAAGTTCACTATTGACGCAAATATGATCCCTCGTTCTCAGGAATTTCCCTGAGAAAATGAGAGGAGTGGGAAAAGGCCCTGGGATCGAGGTTGCGCAAATATTTTTTTAAAATTCTCATTATCATCCGAATATATTTTTCTTTTCGATTTCACCCAAAGAGGGAGAGTTTTCATCCATTCTCTTCAAGCTGGTTTTCACAAGCGACGGAGTCCGAGTCGTAATCAGAAGCGTAGGACTTAACAATGAAAACAGCCTTCTAATCTCCCCCCTAAGATTCCCTCGTTTACGTTCAAGTGAAAACTAGGTCGTCGAAGTCGCAAGCAGAAGCGGTTTAACTACGATAATCACGAAGAGTGGGAACTAATATTGTGATTGAATTTTCCTTCTGCTTCTGCTTCCGCCTCCGACAATCTGGTTTTCAGCAGATCATAAGCAGAGCGAAGCGACGGAGTCACAAGCGGAGCCAGATGAAAAAGGAAACGTTCTGATTCTTCCGACTCCATCGCTCTTATGACTTTACTTACGACTCTGATGTTTGATTTTCACAACGCATAAGTACTCTTACGACTCCGCCTACGATTCCGACACCGTCGCTGGTAAAAACCAGGCTTTTAATGCGACCCACTTGATGTTCTCATAAGGCCAAAAAATGATAAGACAAGCTTTAAGCCTATTCAGAACCCCCCACTCCCGTTACCTCATGAAAACCGTTCAATGACCACCACACTTGGCGACTTTTCGTAAAAAGTTATTAGAGAACATCTTAAATCCGTCCGAGTTTTGATAGCCATGTTTTTCTAAATTTGTTTTTTTTTTTCTATAAAAAAATGTTTGTTTTCTATTTTAACTTACAGTTGAACCACTCCACTACAGCCACCTTTTCGGGACAGAAGAAAGTGGCCGTTCTGGAGAGGTGGCCGTTATGGGGAGGTAGGGATGTAATATGACGCCTTTTTTTAAATTTTCGGAAAGTACAACCTATTTATTTTGCTGTAGCCTATGATGGTATTCCAATCATAATGCAGTATACGGACTAGCAGTAACCAATGGCTAGGAAGTGCGGGCGAACATGTGGGTTTTCCTTGGAGATCTGATTGATGAGAACCGCTTTCATAATTGTGTACGTGAATCAGAGCAAGCCCTTTTAGTTCTAGTATCAAAGGAAGGATCACAATGTAGGTGTCGAAAATGACGAGGTGACATATGCTGGGGGATTAACAGCCGGCAAAGATTTTATTCTTTCACTGATAAATGTAATCTCTCTCTCCGCCTTTGGGACTTCAGCAATTTTGCCAGTCTCTATTTCATTATCATCACTCTGATCGTTGACGAAATCATTTGGTTGCTTGTCTTGTTTTGTGGAAGCTTGTTTCCTTGGATGTAAAATGGCACTTTCTTCTGTTTCTGTTAAGGATCTTGCCTTATTTTGGAGGAAGGACTGGCAAAAGAAGCAAATGTCCATATCCCCCAAGCATTCTAAGTGGAAGAAATGGGCACATCCTTCGAAAACCCTCCGTTCCTTATCACTGCTGACCAAGAAACCAGGAATATCACACCTTTTATTGAATTTGGCTGATTTTGTGAAGCATACTCTAAAGGGAGCACTTCATGACAAGTTTCACTATTTGTCCTTTGCCCAAGACATTTGGCAGAATTACATTTTTTTTCCTGATCCAGTAAATCAGACATTGTTGTGAAATTTTGTTACGTTGGAAAACAGACTGCAAGCAGTTTAGCACAACGTAATTACAAATTCGTAATGTGCTTTTGTGAAAACATGGAATAATTCTTAGCTGCAAGTATTTTCGAAAGTTGCTTTGAGCTTGTCTGCTCTGAAATATAGCCTTTGCATTCTCCTTCACTTTTTCAGCACTGTCATGATCATTTGTCTTTGATCTGATTATGTTGTGTACGTATTCTCCACAGGATATTCATCAACGATCACCAAGTGCTTCCAGATCAGTTTGTAGAGTTCAGGGTTGTTCTTCCCCCAGTATGTGACCATTTCTAACCGAATGAGGGGGGCTTTATTGTAGACTTGCCTCAGCAGGCAAGTAAACATTACCCACACACTGATCATTCATTTGATAGATTAAGCCTGGAAAACAAATTCTCGGAAAACAAATCAGGCCCAATCTTTGCGTTCGACAAGTTTACAATTTATTTTACAAAGTCTGGGGACGTGTAAACCAACCTTTTATACTTTTTATACATCATCTGAGGTGAAACAGTACCATGAGGCACTGTTTTTATCATACAGACCTCGGACAGATCACAATTTTGCGATACAAATTGTACTCATTCAACATTCAGGTCGATCGAAGCACGCGTGGGCTTTTACAGAAACCGTTAAAAAAATTTCTAAAATCACCTATACGGCTTGCCGTTTCTCAGTTTTGATAAGCGCCAAAGTCGACTGTTAAAATCAAGATTAATAGAGTTATACGCTTTAACATGATAAAAAATTTATTATGTTTATTTCTTTATTTAAAGGTTTTATAACTATGTGTAATCTTCAAAAGCGTTTGATACACGAGGCATTTTGACTACTCCTGCAAGCGATGTTCGTGAGCGACTGAAAACAAACGGCACAGCGATTAAAATTGCAAAAGAGACTACTAACAATTTATAAAAGAATAATAATTCGGTGAAACATATACGTAGACAACAATTTTCATTCACGATGACAAGTAAAAAGTGTCTCTGAAAATTCTTGTTTATGTTTTAAGCCGGCTTCCCGGCGTTTTCTTTTTTCAAAGATGAACTCGAGGCAAGAAAACCGCTCAAAGCTTTCTTTTACAGCCAGAATTATAACTGAATATTCTTTGGAACGTTCTTTTTTTCTATTTGCAGTGAGAAAATGTCTAAAGGCTTTTTAAAGTTCTATAAGCCTATAATCAAACCTGATACTCAGATCGATCATTGTCTCAAATCTTACAAACGTGCATAAACTAAATAGCCGCATAAACTACGCCCGACTTCATTACATTAGATATAAAAAACAAACACCAAATACAATAATTACTCAGGCTTACCATTCGAGATGCTCTGAAAACTATCAAGTAAGGCCAGAATCGCTTCAGACTTTTCAACCCTCTTATGCATCAAACAAGGTGAGAAACGAAAACGATGCCATCCGAAATCGGATTTCCGACTTTGACAAGCGACGTATTTCTCAACCAAAAACCCAATAAACAAACTAGCTATGAATAACAAAAGACTCTTGATAGCAGCAGAATTTCATTTTGTACATTCAGCGGAGAAAAACAGTTAAAAACATCACAAGTTAACACAAAACTCTGTCAGCTTCAGTTGTCAAAGTAAACAAGTTTCAAGATGCTGCATAAATTTTAGCTTTCGAAGTCAGTTTGAAATCAAAATTTTAATTGCGCGACACATATAAAACACAACATATTTCATATGAATTGAAAAAAATTAAACTTGAGCCTGCGATCATTTGAAAACTAGTAAACGTCAGTCTCTGTCAACAACAGCAGTCCTATTTAGGACTACGTTCACCCGGACGATCAAACTCAACGTACTTTTGAAATGACTTCTGAGTTCAAGCCTTTCACAATTCAAAAACTGTTTATCAAGGTGTGACTGTGACACGGTTATTATTATTTTTTTAACTAAAAGTACCCGTTCGTTGACGAATCACTGCTAATTACTCATTTGACACAACATTTTTTTAGCAAAGATGACCCGCTGTTCTTCATGTTCCCTCTGAAAACTGTTTATGGCTTAGGCGATAACTTGGATTTCTATACCTTGTCCTCAACACATCATAGGCAATAAGTAAGAAAATCTAGGTACGAAGCCCATACTGACCCGATCTTCGCGGAGCAAAAGCTCTTGAAATGTCAAGAAATCCACTTGTTTTAATTAGGCCTTTTTATGTTTTCACTCTTTTCAAAATTCAATAACGTTTTCTCAATGAACAACCAAAGACATAATACTAGGAGTACTCAATCTTTTTTTTTATTTTTATCGCCATGCAGAACCAATACCAGCACCGTTTACATTCAAGTTTTACAACTCTTAGAATGGATGGATGGATGGATGGATGGATGGAGGGAGGAAGGAAGGAGGGACGAACGAACGAACGAACGAACGACTGAATGAATGAATGAATCTCTCCTCCCTCGCTTTCTCAGGACCTCTTCAAATTGGGCTTAAATGGAAAAAATGGCTGGCTATGCCCCTGATTTTAAATATGCTTAATTGAGCAAAGTGGAAACCTTTCAAGAGAAATGTAAAGGACTATCTTTGAGGACAAAATTCAGAAATCGTCTAAGCTCAAACAATAATTTCTAGTGTTTACAAGCGATTGTGCCGAGATACCGCGCAAAATACTATACTGGATAAAGCGTAAAGCACTGCAAAACATAATTTTTCCTACTTACCAGGAATAACAGTGTATCTTGCTATAAATCCACGGGCTGTTACAGAAAAATCAGTAACAAAACGTACAATCAAGGTTTCGTGGTAAGAAGAAAAAGTCGCATTGCTGGTGAGTGAACCACATAAAAGCCCAGGAAGCACATCACTACCATATATGACAGCATTTTGAATTTGTATATAGTCGAAGGGACAGTTAG